CCTTAACAAATTTTTCATATTTGATCACTCTCTATGAGTCAGGACTCTTCTCTCTACTCCCTTCTTCTCCTATCCAAATTCCTCTGCAGGGAAAGTTATTGATGAACTTTTACGTGATTAAAATTAGGTTTCTCTGAAAATGAAAATTTATCCAAAGGGTCACAAACTTTCAAAAAGAACTCCTTTGGTTATGTTAATGGAACTCAATGATGAATCATTTCTGGAGAAGTTCTCTTTTAACAGTGAAAGAAAAGGAGGGAGGGAGGGAGGGAGGGAGGGAGGGAGAGAGGGAGAGAGGGAGGGAGGGAGGGAGGGACAGCAGACCGAAGGAAGGAAGAGTTCAATGTCCTGGGTGGAATAATCTCTTTGATCACATTTAATACAGAGCTAAAAGACCTTGTGAAATTGTGTCTTAACTTTTATATAAAACCATTCTTTGACCTGTATTTTCCCCATGACCATGTAGCATGTGCAAATCAGGAGCAATGCCATTTCTGTACTACCCCAAGACAAAATGACATGTGCCAATTAACACTCTACCACCACCGTCACCATATAAGGCCACACTTCTGAAAAAGGAAGGGGAATTCTGTAGTCTTGAAGACCATAACATCTCTTTTTCAGCCAAAGGTTACAAAGTTTCTCAGAAGCCAGGTTACACACAGCAGTAGCTAACTTTTTTTTCCTGGTTGATGTGTCAATGGTTTTATTTGGGCTGACTTAATTTTCATAAGACTCATGCAGCAAAGATCAGACTAGAACCTCTGAACACTACAGTCCAGAATACTGATAGCACAAACAGTCTATCAGCAACAGCTGGCAGACTTCCCATCACCTATCTCCTCATCACCCTCCAATAAACCAGAGGCCTCTGAAAAACATGCCACAAAGCTATGTATGCAACAAAGCTATGGATACTGACCTGGCTTCCCTCTTCTCATTTACAAGATACATATGCAAATCTGACCAAAAAGACTTGTATGAATCAACAAGCTGGGTTCCCTAATCCTTCTTGATAGAACTGATTCTTACATTTTGTTTCTACACACACATATTAGCTAGGCATGATAACTCCTGCCTGTAATCCCAGCACTTAGGAAGCCATCAATGCAGGAGGATTATTTTGAGTTTGAGGCCAGCCTGGACTAAAAAGTGAGTTCCAGACAAGCCTGGGCTATACAATGAGAACCTATCTCAAACGAAGAAACAAACAACCCAAGTCTAACTTGGTTATGGAAAAGCTTCTTCAGAATAAAAAATCTATTCTGAAGTCAGAAGCACTTGGGAGGCTAAGGTAAGTGGTGCTCTGAGTTCAAGGCCAGCCTGGTCCACAGAGCTAGTTCCAGGCTACAGCCAGGGCTACACAGAGAATCCCTGCCTCAAACAACAACAAGAAGTCTATAGTGAGACAAGATGTCTTTACAGACATACCAGGTGTATAATTGTCTCTCCAGCCTTCTTTTTAGTTGTTGTTGGGTGTGTTGTATAAATGTTCAGGTATGTTTGTGGATATATGTGGAGACCAGAGGTCAACATTGAGTGTCTTCCTCACTTTCCACTTTTTAAATAAAAATTTAAAAATTAAAATATAATTACATCATGTTCTTCTTCCCATTTCCTACCTCCACCCACTTCCTTATTCCCCTTGCTCTCTCTTGAAATTGTGGCCTCCTTTTCTTTACTTATTATGTTAAACATACACACACCCCTAAATATATAGCTTGCTCAGTTCGCGTATGTTTTCAGGGCTGGCCACTTGGTATTTATTGGACAACCAATTAGGCTTTTCCCTGAGGAAGATGATTTTTCCCTCAGTTGCCTCTAGCTCTTTGTCTATGGGTAGTGCCCTATGAGATTTTCCCCTTCCATATTTTCATGTCTATTGGTGGTGCACTTTTCAGGTCTTGCTCACCTTTTTTTTTTCCCCGAAACAGTAGCTCTTATTGAACCTGGAGCTCACTTCTCTGGCTACACAGGCTGGCCAGCAAACTCTGGGAATCCATTTGTCTTACACCTTACCCTCCATGGGTTATAGATGTGTCCTGCCATACCTAGATTTTTACATGGACACTACAGATAAAACCTCAGGTTCTCATGCTGGTGGAATAAGCACTTTTAAGACTAACCCTCGCCGGGCGGTGGTGGCGCACGCCTTTAATCCCAGCACTCGGGAGGCAGAGCCAGGCGGATCTCTGTGAGTTCGAGGCCAGCCTGGTCTCCAAAGCGAGTTCCAGGAAAGGCGCAAAGCTACACAGAGAAACCCTGTCTCGAAAAACCAAAAAAAAAAAAAGACTAACCCTCTCCTCTGACTATTTCATAGCTTTCTTAATTCTTAAACTCTTCTCACACATACATTTTTTTTTTCTCGTTTCCAGGGTCCATGATGCCTACTTGTTCTTTCTAAAATTATTTACTACCCCATCCTCACAAATGAACACAATCAAATAACAAAACTTGACAGGACCCTGGAAAAACCAGGCCATCAAATGACCCATACTCAGGGGCCAACCAGTTCATCCCCAAGACAATAGGAACTATGCTCCTGAAGTTGAGAGTGATGCTCTGGGCTACTCGGGACAACATTCTAGCTCCTGTGGTGCTGTCTGTCTTGACCATAGGTGAAATGGCAGGTATGGGACAATCTAGATGGCTATCTTTACTGCTGGATAAGTTGAATCCCAGTTCTCCCTGAGCCCTTTGCTAGGGGGAAAGTCTCCTGAATTCATGACTTAAACAAACCAAAAGCAACAAAATAAAAGCATTTAGTACCAAAAGACTTATAAGGAAAGCACAATTGTTGAGCTTTATACCTAAACAACACGCAAAAGTCTTTAGATGCTTTCTCTGCCATACTACATACAACACATGGCAGAAATTCCTTGTGATCACTGGTTCTACGGCTCCAATAATTCTAAAAACGTACTATCCACTGTACAGAATTAACAATTCTAACTCTTGGCTTTCAAAGGACTTTCAAGGTGTCCATTTGGATGAATATACCAAGATGAGTAAGACTTTAATGAAAAGAAAGGCATGTTTTATAAACCATGCATAAAGAGGAAAAGAACAAGGGACGAACAAAAGAACAGATAGAAATGCCCAGGGAGGAAGCCCATGTGTGTCAAACTCATGAGAAAGATCGACAGTGCCTTACAAATGCCATTTGGTCTCGTCACAAATCAGCATTTTAAAAGGGGGCCTTTGGAAGTTTTGATCATTGAAGAAATGCATTCTTTCTAAACTAAAATTTCCATAAACCATCACTTACTCATACTAATTACAACGTATTCTGGTTTTTCAAATGTTGGTGACGACATGCTAAGTTGATCTCATAGTTTACCAGTGACTCACAACCCAATTCTGAGAGCCTTCTTTCTACAAGAGTCATAACACTTCAGTACATAGAGAAAGTTGCCGAACTCTACTCTTGACATATTAATCACACACTGAGAGCATTTCAGGGTGATCTGAAACAAAAACTAAATACACAAAAAAGTAGTATCTGCATTAAGAGTAAGTTTCCAACTAAGAGGAGAGGCTCAGAGCAAACAAGGAAGAAGAAATACTTGAGCGAGCAGAACAGCTCATTCCATTCATTTTTATTTCACAAGCTGTAAGTATTTAGTCTTTCCCTAGCACTGAACAAACCACCTAGTCCGCAGCATTTTGTGTGACACATGCTTCTAACCTAGCCTTTGAAGAGAAGTGTGGATCAGCCCTACAGAATATGAGGAGGAGATATCCCTGGACCAGTAAGCATTGGTACTGGCACCTTCTCCTGACACTGGCTGGCTTGCTATACAGAACAGTGCAAACCCAGGTCAGGCAGGGAAAGGCCTCCTATCCTTTGCCAGTATTTAAATAAGGGACATCCACTGGAAACATCATAGGACAGAAAGAAGAGCATTCTAAAATTGTCAGTGACCTTTGCTGACCACGGTCTAGCATGCTGACAGACAAAGAAAGGAGGTTGCCAGGCCTAATGGTCATGGACACATAACTGAAAAGACCAACTTAGAGAATCCAGAGAGGTGAAAGGATGGAACCTCATGGTGAGTGATAGTTAGTCTTGAAAACAGAATCAAATGCCATCCAACAGTTTGATCAGTAGATGTGCAAGATACAGCTAAGAGGTTAAAGCAGATAACTGCAAAATCCCTGCATCCAACTCTGCAAATCTGTAACTAGAAGCTTAAATCACAATATCAAACAACTGGGGTATTAGATGGTCAGATGCTTTTTCAGGCATCTGGAAGATAATCCTGCCCACCAGCAAACACACAGCAGATCATGCAATCCCTCTTTCCCAGTCGGTGGCTACCCCATGAAGAAAAAAGGAGTTTGATTTTCAAATTGAAAATAGTTTACAGGTACATATGCAGATCAAAGTTTCAATATGCATAGTATACAGTTATAACAAAGCTTCACTTAATGCTGTTACAAAATCTGAGCACTGGGGCTGGGGGCTGGCTTAAGGGGAGAGTGCTTGCTTGTTATGCAAGGCAAGTCCCCAGCACCACACAGAAAAACCATAAACTGTAACCAATTCCCCTTCATTACTTTTTTTAATCTTTAAAAATTACTTCATTATAACGACCACAGTTGTACAGTGTTTCTTAGGTTTCTCTTTGAACTTGACTTTCCATTCTATTCAAGCTTAAGTGCTTGACTACAATTTCTCTAAGTCAGCAGTCACTACAGAGCACTGTAACAATGCTTCCAAAGGCACTGGATCTTTATGTTGCTATTCAGATAACCTTTATTGCACTATGGAATATATTTCTCCCTTCACAACTTCAATCACAGACTAAAAAACTCCACAGATTCCTCAGTGATTCCACCTCCTTCTTCCCACGAGTGAAGGAAATTCACTTTAAGGCTACAGCCCTTCCTCTCTTCTGTAGGGACAGCATCCATGTTCTCTCATTTCTTACCATGAAGCTGTCTGAAATAAAACCCGAGAATTGCTAAAGGGAAGGAGGGGACACCAGGCTACTCACGTCAGATTTTGAGGACATGTTCTCCTCCACGTCTGAGTCGTTGGGATCCACAATATCATCAAACGGCGGCAATGTCGACTTCTTCTTCTCTGACGTCTCACTCTCAATTTTGACCTTTCCCATCTTGACATGAGGCTTCTCTTTGATCTGTTTTTTGTCGGCAGAACAAGTGAGTATCAGTGGTGGGGCACTAGAAAAACTTTTAAATACAGCCTCTGAACTGCTCTTTTTCCTTTTCTTGGCTGAGAGTTCTTCAGAATCGGAAATGGGGGGCCTTTTACTGGGAGCCTTCTTATCCTGCTGTCCACTGGTGATGGTGAGTAAGTTACTGTCTGCTTTTGGCTCTTTTGACATGGGTTTAGGTTCCTTGAAGGCCATTTTAGGAACTATTTTTTCTTCTTTCAGTGGCTTGTTTTCTTTGGGTTTCTTGGAGGAGTCTTTGGAAGATTTGTTGTGATCCCTGGAAGGTTCTTTGAAGGCACTTTTATGTTCTCTGGAGTCTTTAGAAGGTTTTTCCTTGTGCTCCTTCATTAATTTGTGAGGCTTTGAAAAACTGGTACTACTGCTGCTGCTGCTGCTGCTGCTACTGCTGCTGCTGCTGCTGCTACTACTGCTGCTGCTGCTGCTGCTGCTGCTGCTACTGCTGCTGCTGCTGCTGCTGCTACTGCTGCTGCTGCTGCTGCTGCTGGTATGAATGCTCCTGTTAGGGTCCTGCAATCAGGAGAAGAAAATCAAACTCTCAAAACAAAATAGTAATGAAGAATGTGAAGCAGCGGTTCTCAACTTTCTTAATGCTGCAACCCTTTAATACAATTTCTCACGTTGTGGTGACCTCAACCATAAAATTATTTCATTGCTATTTCATAACTGTAATTTTGCTACTGTTATGAATCATGTAAATGTAAATATCTGACAAGCAGGATATCTGATACTCAACCCCCAAAGGGGTCTTGACCCATAGGATGAGAACCACTGGCCTAAAGTCAACTTCTATGAGCTCCAACTATATAAAATGTCCCTGTTTTGCTTTCAATCAATCCCTAAAATACCCCAAATATTTTAACTGCAGTTCCACAGGTGGGAATAATGCATGTTAAGAAACATGTAAGAAAGTCACTATGATCAAGAATTTAATGAGACACTCTATCTCCTCAACCACTGGAAGGATAAATTTACAACACTGATATTAAACAAATGCTAACAATATGCTTGTCCTAGAAGGTACAAAAATGGATAGCATATGGCCCCACTATAAACAGCTCCGGCGTACCTAGCTATGATTGATGGGTATTGAAAGCACCACCTACAAGGCCCTGTAACAAATGAAAGAAGGGGGCTATTCAGTTGTGCTGAGAGCATGGGGAAAAGAATAAATCCCAATTCTAAAGACACCAACCTATGAACAAGCAGCACAAGCAGACTGCTGCTATTACAAACAGAAGAGGGGATGGCACTGGCTGACTAGAGTAAACTAAAAGAAGGAGCAAACCAGACGGCGTTGGAATAGCAGCATCTAGCTAGAGCACAAAATTGAGACGGAAGCAGAAAAGTCATCAGGGAAACACAGTGAAGGCAGGATACATGAAATCCTCAACATCTCTATCATTCATGCCGATCACAAAGCCACCAAAGGAAGGAACCCTTAATGTGAGCTAAAACTTTTTTAAGTCAAATTTTCAACAATTGAAGAATATCTTTCTCTCACTAAGGACGAGAAAAAGAAAAGCAGAAAGCAATGGAGCACATCCAAGACCTCACCTACCAAATGGACAGAATCTTCAGCGACTACTGTTGTACAATCCTGAGAAGGAGGTAGCTATTCATATTTTATGTTAAATGTGACCAATTTTCCTACTCACCACAATACCTCAAAACATATAACCTGAGCTGGAGAGATGGCTCAGAAGTTAGAAGCACTAGCTGTGCTTCCAGAGGACCTGAGTTCAATTCCCAGCAGCCACATGGTGGCTCACAACATCCAGCCCTAGAAGATCTGATGTCTTCCTCTGGTCTCCACAGACACTGCATGCACATGGTGCAAAGCCACACATTCAGGTAAAACATCCACACACATAAAATAAAGTTTAAGACAGATATACCCAAACACACATTTTTACATAAAATCTCTACATAATCTATTTAGGAACAAAATCTAAGTCTACACTTAACATATTTGTGAGTCTTTACTATTAATAGCAAAAATAAGAAACAATAGGAGATCCAGGGTATGCAAAAATCCACATCAATACTAAAAGAATAGTTCTTTCCTAATCACTTCAACCTCCTACTGGAGCCAGGGACAAATTCCAGTCAGAATTTCCATCTTCAGGGTCCTTCTCTTTCATGTCTGACTCACTCACTCACTTAAGACCAATGCCGTATAATCCATCTGATAGTCCTTAAACATCTGGCATAACACAAGAAAGAGAATGTATGTAGAGCCTTTCAACAAGATGAGCAATCTCTTATTTATTGCGTCTGCAGGAGGAGAGGGGTGGGTATATATGTTTACTGATACACATCAGAAAGCAATACCCTACGTGAAGATCTCTGTTCTATGCCAGTGGGAATATGTATTTTTGTTTTCTACAAAAATCATCTGCCCTCTACGTATAGCAAAATAGCTCAAGTTATTTCTTTTCTGAAATGAGCATCTGGTTTCAAAATTACAAAATGGATAAAGTTACTAAGCAAAGACTTGTTTTCATGCTTCAAACTAGCTAGATAATTCTTTACAAAGCATTTTAACCTAAGACTTTAAAACATGCTACTAAATATAGAATTCATATTACTGAAACTACATTATTTAATAAATTCTATTACAGGACATTTCCTGGCATGTTAAGCAATACTATGAATAATTAAAATAACATATAATGGACAAACTAAATTAAGGAAGAACATTTTCAAATCTAATATCCTTAAGATTTTTTAATTGGTTTGTTGACTCACTGAATTTTGGCAATTTACAATCAGTTCTCACTATGTCTACACCAAAGCATTGCTACTAAACATTCAATCTATATGGAATATTACACATATTTTAATAAATATAACTTTTTAAACTATAAACATACTTCTAATGTTATACATTAAAAACCAATAAGCATCAGGAAGTGGGGGACTTCAGGGAAACTTAAATTATTTATTAATAATATCTGTAGAATACACAAGAATTCTTAATAAAGAACACAGTAGTGGGTCAGAGAGATGTCTCAGCAGGCAAAGGTGTTTGCTGTCAAGTCTAACAACCTGCATTTGATCCCCAGGACCAACATGGTGGAAGGACAAAAACAGACATACACCAGTTGTCCTCTGACTGCCACAGGAGGTACACACGTGTGCATGCACACGTATGCACACTTGAGCACACATGCACACACACACACACACACACACACACACACACACACACACACACACACACTAAATACAAATTGAAAAACAAAGTACTCAGTGGTACTAGATACATAGATACAAATTTTTATCTTATAGTTTATGTTCTTGTCTTAGTCATGTGCATATATAATAAAAAATTCAGAAATGCATTTTTTATAACTTGAGCTATTTAGTGCCCACTTTATCTACTCCAACAAGCAAATGGCTTCATCACTATTCTCCCTTTATCATTACCACCTCACAAAGCTTTCTTGGGTGTGGCAACAATGGCCAGTAGTCTTAACACTCAAGAAGAATATCTCTGAGTTCAAAGCCAGCCTGGTCTTCATCCATGCTGCAAGTTCAAGGCCAGCTAGGGATACATAGTGAAACCCTGTCTTAAAAAAAAAAATCAAATAAGGACTGGGAAGATGGCTCTGTGGTTAAGAGCAGGTGTGGCTCTTGCAGAAGACTAGAGATCAATTCCCAGCACCCACACGGCAGCTCACAACCATTCCTAACTCCAGTTCTATGGGACCTTACCCCCTCTTCTGGTTTCCACAGGCCTGCATGCTTATGGTGTGCATACATACATGCAGGCAAAACACCCAAACAAATCTAAAAAAAAAAAATCCTATAATTATTTTTAAAAGCTTTCTTTGAGCAAAAAAGTCAAATCTCAGACAAATACTTTCCATAATAATGTCCATGACAAAATTCAGAAAGTAACAAAAAGTGGAGAGGGAGGTCTCTGTCATACACAGAGAGGCATTTTCTTTAGCTAGGGCTGGTAGCAAATGACAGCTTAAATACATGCCACCAGACTCTACACATCATAAATATAAAGTGGAAGCTTAGACACAAAAACATCCAACTGCCACTGACACAGAATAAAAGCTGATCTAACTCATATATAGTGAACCTAGGCAGTAGGTTTTTAAAAACTGTTTCTGAATCATTAACCTCAACATTAAATGCTACTGAACAACACAGACTAATTACCATTCTATGTGAAGCTTACACATGCTGCATAATTCAAATCTCTTTGCCTAAAGATGATTAAGAGCAACTGAATATCGAGTAATCCAAAGAGAGGGTATGTACATAATTCAAATCTCAAATATGGAAAGCAAATGACTATTTTAAACATAAACACACATGCATTTGCACCAACTTTGCAACCTGAGATGCTAAGGTATACAACTTTCATCCATGAAATTTTATTGAATGCCTCTTTGTCTTAATTTTCTGGAGCAGAATGGTCTCTTTACTGTATAACTCTGTCTAATTGGAGTTGTCCATAACTCTAGCAGATAGGCTAAGAAAGAGGGCTCGTGTGAACCGGACAGAGAAGGGCTTTCTGATTATGTGTAGCTTTCAATTTCCTTGTCATCTTCCTTCTGACAACTCAATGCTGACTCTTCACTTCCTGTTTCCTCCCTGTAACTTTCTTCTGTCCTGTTCTAACTGATCTTCTAGGCTGTGGAAGATTTTCAGATTAATGGAACTTGAATTAGACAAATAAATGATCATCAAATTTTTACTAATCAAAACCAATAAACTTTTCTGGATGAGTTTATTTGTCCAAACATTTAACCAGGATACTTCCTGTAACTTGCAGTGTGTACTTCAAGAGGTTGTACATATGAAGGGGTAATGTAAACCATGATATTCAAAAATAAGCTTCCAAACAGATCACAAATAATGAAGAGAATACCATTTGAGAATATGAATAAAATATAAAAGTTCAGGATCCTGTAGAGGACGGGATCTACCTTTCATAGTTTGATTTAAAATGCAATCAACTCAACTCAATCCTCTTGAGGCAGTCAGTTCTGCAGGCAGAAGGCAGGGGAGCTTGAAGAATGGGCCATAGGTTTGTGGGACTTTTGGGAGAAAGGGCTAGTGCAGGATCTCCTTGGCTCCAAGCTAGGACCATAGGAGTTTAGCATGCAGCTAACTGCACAATGTGGCCAGCCTCTGGCCCCCAGAGTACCCAATGGGATGGAGAGTCCACTCTACTCCTGGGGCTAAGGAATGAAAGGAGAGAAAAAGGAAAGCAAAGAGATGCATAAATATACAGAAAAGAAACTGTGAACATGTTTGCTGGTATGGTGTGGTTTGAAAAGCCCGCACCTTTCATTGCTTACTTGAGCCCCAATGCACATATAAGACAGATGAAGCATTGACATTAAAAACATGATTAAACTAAAGAAAATCAAGTATAATCAAAAATAACTTCTAAAACTTAAAATTTGGTGAAAACTGAACATTAAAATTATCAAGTGTAAATAATTCACTAGGCCAAGTGGAGAAACACAACAATCAGTGAC